CTGTCCACTTGATTCTGACAGAGGGACCTTGTAGGACAGAATCTCTGGATGGGAAAGCTTTCCGGAAACACATAGCCGCAGCTTCCTCTCAGAGCGGCTGCTGAGTACAAACCACCCACCTTGGCATTAGCTGTGCATGCCTTCACCACCGCACCCCAGGCTGAGTGTGAGGAGAGGGACTGTTTCAAGAAAAGGGCACACACACACACACACAAAACTGTGCTTGACAAGCCCCACGTCAGTGGGCCAGGGGCTAGCGGGAGACTGAAGACTTCTACTCAGGTGGTGACCGGGCTGACAACCCTGAGCTGCACAGCAGGCTGTCGGCAGTTGACTCCCACCCGTCCCAGAATCGGCGGTGGGCAGCAGATTGTCGGAGGCCGGCTCTAGAGGGCATGCGTTGTCTAGACGTCCCTATGTATTGGACGCAGGCCACTCTCCTCAAGGAAACTCCCCTTGCGTACCTCCGCTCACGACTTGGAGCCTGATGACTGAGAATCCTGGCCTAGCCAGGTGGACCCAACAGTGACCACCACATGCTAGTCTGCCGCTTGAAAACCAGGAGCCTCGATGAGGCGTCGGCACACCGCCATCTCGTGCCCTGGTCTGCTCTTTGAGTGTGTGCGTGGGGCTCTGAAGTAAAACTGAAAACCACTGTAAGGTTATCAGATGACGGTGATGTCATTGTTTGTGAAAGTAGATATTTATGCCTCTTGAATAACTTTTAAATTGTTTTGAGGGGCAGATTGGCTCTTCCGTCTCAGAAGATTGCCGACCCCTGCTCTGGGAGGTGGCGTTTCAGCAAAGCGGGCGGGGAGGAAGGGCACCCGTCCATCTCGGGCCCCTCCCTGTGCCCCTGAGCCACCCTCCTCCTCCCCCTTCCGCTCCAGTTCATCGTGGAGTGCCACGGCAGCACCCTTCTGCCCCAGTTCCTGGGCATGTACCGCCTCACCGTGGACGGAGTGGAGACCTACATGGTGGTCACGAGGAACGTGTTCAGCCACCGGCTCACAGTGCACCGCAAGTACGACCTCAAGGTACAAGCTGGTTTCTCTGGAGCTCTGGAAGGACCCTGTGTCCGTGGCTGGGAGAGCCATGCTATGCTTTGCAACGGCCAGGTGACTCTGAGGTTGACAGGCCTAATTCTTGTGGCCAAAAGGCTGTGTGAAGCCCAGGTGACGGTGACAAGAGATTATTTGAACCCAGGTGTGCCATTTAACCTAACCATTGATGCTCCCCATCTCCTGCCAGTGGGATGTGCAGGCCAAGGGTGGCAGACTGCTGACGCATGCACCCTGGCGTCTGCCCAGGCCCATCAACTGACAGCACCAATGTGTTTCTGGGCACCCAGGAGGGTGCTCTTGTGACTGAGTCATGGTGCCCCACTGCCCTTGAATGAAGGAACGGGCTTCTAGCTGCTCTCCCCTCACCCTCCGCTGTCTCGGTGTGGATCCTGAGTGATTCGGAATGCGCCCTCCCTCCCCTCGCCAGGATTGTCATACATGCGTGGCATTTTGCCTGGCTGGAATATTTTCTCTCTCAGCACTGCCCCTCTCCAGAGTGCCCTACACAACCCTCCCCCCACTTCTGAGCTTAGGTCAAATAACACTTCCCCCAGGAAGCTGTCCGTTTCTGGCCACTGCCTCTCCCCAGTGGAGACCAGGCCTACCTGTTGTCTGCTCCCTTGTTATCTTCGTTAGCCTAACAGAAGTACCCTGGGACTTGGCTTTAAGTAACGGAAGTGTATTTTTTTCCGCAGTGTAGGAAGCTGAAAAGAACTCAGGGCCCAGGCTTGGGTGGCGTGGGGTGGGGGAGGCTTGTCTCCCCTCTGTCCGAGTCTGCTTCCTTCCATGCCTAACCTGTTTTTCTATCTCCAAAGGGATTGATCTAAGAGCTCCTATGCCAGTTTGGTTTTATCAACATAACAAAGAAAAGCTTGTTCCCCATGTATAGGGGGTTAGGATCCAACCCATATTTTGTGGGGGCTGTCCTGTCTTCTCCCTTGTATCGCTTACCAGCTGCCACCAGCAAGTCAATGGGGGCTCACAGCGACCTGTGATGTGGGAGGAGGGCAGTGTTCGTAGGGCTTTCAGTGGCTGGTGTCTCAGAAGTAGAGTGCCAGCCTTCTCTTCCGAGGTCCCGCTGGGTGGACTGACCCTTCAACCTTTGGGTTAGCAGCTGGGCACAAAAACCGTTCGCATCACCCAGGGCCTCCCTTGTAATGCTCAGCACCACTGTAGTGCACTCACTGTGTGGCTCGCATTAGACGGAGGGGAGGGACGGCCCCTGCGGACAGGAGCTGCGTCTCGGGGGCAGTCCTGTTTCCTGAGCAGCTAACATGTATCTTGTCCATAGTCAGAGCTCTCCAAAGACTGTGCCTGAGGAGGTGACCAAGTCTCTGCCTCCTGGCCCCTCGAGGGGTCAGACCAGCCAACCCCACCTCACCCGCTGACCTCCTCTAAGACTAGTGCCTCAGCCAGCTGCACTTCTCCTCAGGGATCCATGTGGCGCTGTGGGTTGGACTTTGGGCTGCTAACTTCAAGGTCAACAGTTCAAATCCACCAGCCTCTAGAAGGAGAACGCTGAGGCTTTCTGTTCTGCTAAAGATTTGCAATCTCAGAAACCCTGTATGGGGTTTGGTTTGGTTTTTTGGACACTTCTCCCAGGAGCCCTGATGATGCAGTGGTTAAGCGCTCAGTTGATAACCACTGGTCAGTGCTCTGAGCCCACTGGCCGCTCAGCCTGCTTCAGTAACGATCACAGCCTCGGGAAGCCTGCGGGGCAGTCCCCTGTGTCCTGTAGGCGTGGTTTCTGAGGGGCACTGACCCAAGGGAAATGGGTTCAGGTCCAGGCCCGTCTGATGCTTTTGTTCCTTTCAGGGCTCTACTGTTGCCAGAGAAGCGAGTGACAAGGAGAAGGTAGGTGGGGACATGGGTCTGCTGAGCACAGCTGGGGTGGGTGGCTTGGAACTGGAAACACCACCTGGTGGCTCTCCTGTCTCTCACCACAGCCCAGGCCCCCAAGCCATCTGGCTTGCCAACGTAAAATCTGCCACCACCCACCCTCCTGTCCTCAGCTTCGGCCTAGGCCTGGGTCCCCTACTTCTGCCCTTGTTGCTTCTTCCTGTCCTGAAGGGATGGTAGACAATTCCCAGCTCAGCCCACCCTGAATCTGGTGGTGGCCGTCTGAGCCCTGGGTTGGGCCAGGCTCAGCAGGGAAGGTGGCCTTGGCCGCTTCACAGTGTCTGGGATCAGCCACCTATTTGCCCAGAGTCTGGGACTGTAGTTTCGGTGCTGAACTGCTGATTTGGAGTTTGAGCTAAAGGACCTCCCCTTTCCTAAACGTAGCCTCACCCCAGCAGAGAACTGACTCCTTGGGGTGAGGGCCTGGGCCGGCCTCCTAACACTCCCACTGCCCTTGCTCTCCCAGGCCAAGGACTTGCCAACCTTCAAGGACAATGACTTCCTCAATGAGGGGCAGAAGCTGCACGTGGGAGAGGAGAGCAAAAAGAACTTCCTAGAGAAACTGAAACGGGATGTGGAGGTACTGAGGGAGCTGTAGTATTCAATTAAAAGTGGCGCGGAAGGAGGTGGGGAACCAGCCCCCACCGTTAGTACTCTCTACTGGTTCAGTAAGTACAATTGTACGGTTGAGATATATGAGTATTATATTAAAGTCACCGAAAGCATGAGAGATAATACAATAATACAGTCAGACATATTACATGGTAGCATTGCTCACCTCAACCCCACTTGGTGGTCCTTGTGGGGGGAACCCGGCTGCCAGAGCAGAAGCCGCCTCCCTCGAGGGAGTAGCCCTCTCGTCCATCGCCCTCATGGGAGCGGCCCTCATGGGAAGCAGCCCTCCTTCATCAGCCGCCCTTTCCAGCCACCCTCGGCCAGCCACCTTTGGCCAGCCACCTTTTGCCAGCAACCCTCGGCCAGCTCCCTCCTAAGAACCAGGGAGCCTCCTTATTTATTGCTAACCCCGCATCATATTACTTTAGGGGGATACATCACAGCATTATGCTTCACAGAGAAGGGTGGTACAATTCATCCTTGAACAGGTTTGATCATTCTGGTGTCTCATACAATAAAGCAGGCAATTACTATCCTGGGAGGCATGCAAGCCCCCTGATAGCAGATAACAGCCTACGTCATAGAGAGGGGTTGTAACATAGGCAATACAAGCAATAGGAGGGGGATGACCTAGGGGTGAATGTGCAATAGTAAGAGGAGGGAATAGGGGGGCATGTGTGGCAAGATAGTAGCCTAAGCTTAGTCATCTTAGAGTGGTCCCAGGCTTGCCTATGGGCACTGCTTCAAGGGAACAATAACAGAAAGGAATGGGCCCTATTTGGGGTGAGTCAGACCTACAGTCTGGCCGCTCTAGATGGCCGATGTTGGGGAGAATAACCTCTGACCTACTTTTGCTGCCTAGGGAACAATTATTTTCAAGCTAAGTCTGGCATATATTTTGGGGGACAACTTAAGAGAAATCCTTCTGTTCCCCACAGGGAACCTTGTTTTCTTTCGCCCCTTCTTGAACCCAGCAGGAGCCCCTGTCACCATAAGAAACACGGGATTGACTGCTTCCTTCCGAGACCCCTCGGAAGAGGCACGCGGTGACTGTGGGCACCACCGGGGCCTCCCCTGTAGAGTGCAGCCCCATCGTCATGTCCCAGTGGGGTGACCACACTTGATGTCCGTCTGCCCCTGTTAGGAGACAGCATGTTCCAGAAGGGCTGTCTGACCCCTGGAGCATGGCAGGGCCCTGAGCTGGGCAGTCTGAGTACTTGTGGCTAAGGACCGGGCAGTGTTTCCTTTTTGTGGCTTAAGAACCTCTTTTGTATGGTCAGAAACCAGAGCCGAACCCAGCCCGTTGCCATCCAGCCTGTTCTGATTCCTTAGACATAGAGCAGAATCGGCCCTGCAGGCTGCCCCTGTGAGTCGGCCTCTCCAGAACACCTGGCCATAGCAAAGCTCGAGCTGACCAGCAGCCCGTCTGGGGACACAAGTTTGTGCCCTGGGTCCTTTGTAACTCAGTTTGGGGAACTTGCCCTGTGCTTCTTTATTCACCCATCCCCAAACCCTCTGACCTGTGCCCACTGTCACCACCACCCGGAGGGCTGTCAGCCCGGGCACCATCCACCCCAGCCCACCAGCAGGCCCCGCGCCACTGCTGCTGCTGCCTCTACCCTTGGGAGCAGGACTTCCTGGGAGGGCTGGGTGCTGCTCGGTGACAAGGTGTGGGCTCCCCTTTTGTTTGAACGAAGTGGGAGCCCGCTCTCGACAACCAGGTGTCGTCCCCAGCCCACCCGGGGGCTCCCTGTGCTGTGGACCTTGAGAGTCTCATGCAGAGGAGCCCCTCTGACTCTTGGCTGAGCAGCTTCTGCTGGCTCCTGAAGGCGGCCTTGGGCCTTCAGCTGGTTTTCTGGGTCTACCCCTTGAGCTTCAAGGGACCTTTTGTGGTCAGTCCAACAGCTTCTGGCTGCTGCTGTCTTAGGGTGTGACCAAAGGCCAAAGGAATGCCCGGCCCATGGCTGAGGCTGAGTGCTCTGGCCTTCTTAGTTCAGCTGACCGCTGCAGCCCAGAACCGTTCCCATCCTTGCTTCTCCTTTGAGCATGGACTCCCAGAAGGGACCAGGCACCAGCTGCACCAGCTTGCCCAAGCGTGGACCTGCGGGCTCCTCTGACCTCCAGGGCAGAGGACGTGAGACGGGCGATTGGCTGTGGTTGCCATTCTTGCGTGGTGCTCTTCTTCCTTGTCTCCCCGGTTTTATCCTGTCCCCTAAGGAGGCTGGATTAGTTAGATGGTTTCACACTTTGACCCCTGATAAGAAGTACATTCTGTGTGCAACTCCAAACTCCCCATCCCATCTTCCCCACATAGCTTTTGTTCTGCCTTCTTTCCTAACAACCAGTCTGGGTCCCGCCCACTCCACTGGGTTTGGGTTTGAAAGGAAAGACATGGTCGCGTTCAGCTGCGCGGCTGCTCCGCTGTGCTCCCTCAGACACAGCCCCCTGCGGGCTGCACGCTCTCCCTGCGGCCTTTGCTCAGGGATGCTTTCTCTCAGCCCTGCTTGCCTTCGCCCAAGTCTGATGGACCTCCTCACTGAGGGCAGCTGCTGCCCTGTCTTTCTCCATTGTGCCTCGGAACTGCTTGCCGAATGGCATGGCGATGGAGGAACGCCCGGACTTCCCCATTTCCGCGTGCCGCTCAGCTGCCCCATGTAACTGCCCCCTTCCACCTGCCCTCCCCTGCCCCGCTCTAGTTCCTGGCCCAGCTGAAGATCATGGACTACAGCCTGCTGGTGGGCATTCATGACGTGGACCGGGCCGAGCAGGAAGAAATGGAGGTGGAGGAGCGGGCGGAGGACGAGGAGTGTGAGAATGACGGGGCGGGCGGCGCCCTGCTCTGCCCCTATGGCACGCCTCCTGACAGCCCGGGGAACCTCCTCAGCTCCCCCCGCTTCTTCGGGCCCGGGGAGTTCGACGCCTCTGTTGACGTCTACGCCATGAAGAGCCATGAGAGTAAGCAGCAGGCCTGCCCTGCTTGCCACAGCCCCCCTCGACCATCTGCAGCCCTCGGTGGGTGGGTGTGTCGTCCGTGGTGTCTGTCTCCCTGCAGCCTGGAGCTGGATCCCCAGTTCTCTGGGGCTCCTTCCTTTCCCCGCCTCATTCGAGGAAGGAGGCGGCCTGGGACCCCTGTGGTTCATGGGACAGACACAGCCTTGTCAACGCTGTTCTGTCAGCCCCTCTGAGGGGCTGCGAGGGTCACAAGAAGCTTCTGAGGGGACCCAGTGGTCCTTCCTTTTCTCAGATCCCGAATCTCGTATCTGGGGGGGCTGTTGGGTGGGGGTGACCCACATTGCTCTGTGTTCTGCTCTTGACATCTCTTCTTTCTGCCCATCCCCCCTCCAGGCGCCCCCAAGAAGGAGGTGTACTTTATGGCCGTCATCGACATCCTCACTCCGTATGACGCCAAGAAGAAAGCTGCACACGCTGCCAAAACCGTGAAACACGGGGTGAGTCTCCCGGTGGGTCTGCCCGCCCCAGCCAGGCCCAGGAAGAACCCCCTGCCCATGTGGCCTTGTGTCCTCTGCAGCCTGCACCCCCCGCCCTGCCTGCCCGGAGCTGCCTGCTTGTTACCCCCGTTCTCTGGCCTCCAGCGTCCTCCCCAGAGTGGTTGAGCAGCCGTGTAGCTGGGGGAGCAGCCAGGAACCGCTGTTGGCTCACTCACACTGCACCCCTGAGACCCAAAACTCCCCACTGCCCTGGCTGCAGGGCTGGGGTTTGGGCCACCCTCCGAGGCAGGTACCCCGTGTAGACAGTAGTAGTGTGGTCAAGCCGATCCTGGGTCTCTGGTGTGTTTCAGGCGGGGGCCGAGATCTCAACTGTGAACCCTGAGCAGTACTCCAAACGCTTCAACGAGTTCATGTCCAACATCCTGACGTAGCTGTCTCCTACCTTCAGTGCCGGAGCCAGAGCTGAGTGGGGGGCTGGGCTGGTGAGGGGGGCAGGGAAGGGACTGGCTGTGGGCTGCAGCCTGGGACATGGAGAGAGGCACTCCAGCTGTGTGTGGGGGTTGGGGGGACGTGCCACTCCGCAGTGCCCACAGGCTGTCGCTCACCTGTGTGCGCCTCTGGTTTTTATTTCCACAGGACCCTCTTTGTTTCTCAGCTACCTTGGGGTGAGAAATGGTCTTGTGGGTTCCCTTGGGCTTTGTTTCTGAAATTCTGTTGCTCCAGGTTTGCTATTTATGATGATGTATGTCATCGCCATATATGTCGTCCCCACCCCCTCCCTACTCTGCACCAAGAGGCCTTGGGAGCAGAGCTGGCTCTCTCTGGCACCGGAAGGGGAAGGGCAGCCCCAGCCCTGCCCCCACCGCAGCAGGGGGCTACATCTCTGGCCTGTTGTTCTGTGGAGCGTTGTGCACACCCGCTTCCCCTGGAGTCAAGTGCAATGTTCTCATAGTCCTCCCTCCCCAGGGGGCGCTCTGGGCCCACACCTGGCATCGTGGGCCACAGTCTAAGCTCTTGGGGCGAGCTAAGGCACCCTCATGGGACAGGAAAGATTGGGGACTGCTGATTCTCAGAGAACACCCCTGGTCATCAGCTAAGCCCCTGGAGTTCAGCTGGCCTCCCCAGGGTCCAGAGGAAGCAGAGAGCACCTTCACAGCTCAGTCCCGGTACCCTCACGTGTGGACGGTTATTTCCCCTCGGGAGAATCCCAGAAGCTGGCAAGCATCCCCCAGGCCACCCTCCCTTCGTTCCCTGGGGACTCCCCCCTGCCCCCTCCACAGGCCGTGCACCAAGCGGAGTGTTTGGTAGGCCTGTCACCACGGAAGTGAGCTGGCTCCCTGTGCCCGTGGATTTTCACCTGGATGCTTCCAGAATCCCAGCGCTCCTGAGGTCAGCCGGCAAGGAGCAGTGCGCCTCCTCCATGAGGAAAGTCTAGCTTCTGAGACCTAGAAAAGCCGGTTAGAAGGCTTGAGGTGGGATCTGACGGGGTCCCAATGGTCAGCATGTCTGCTGTCGGCCGGCTGCCTCTGGAAGAGTGGCACCTTGCAGGGTCCTTCCCGTCCCACGGGCCACCACCGGAGACTTCTTCCGGGCCGCGATCCCCTGCCCAGTGGCAGCAGCACAGTCTGGCCCTGCCTGCTCTCCTCACCCTCACCAGTAGCTGGGCCTTTGGGGCAAGATACAGTAAAACTTGTAGAGACCCCCAAAGCCGCGAAGCTGGTTTGTGGAGTCATTTTGAGTGAGTGGGAAGGTGTGCCCCCCCACCTCCCCCCGGCCCTGCTCCGAGTCTGTTGCAGGTGCCCTGATTTAGGTCAAGGGCTCCCTGGGGCTGCGTGGTGGGCTGCAAGGCCCTCTGCAAGAGGCTGCTGGATGCCCGGTCTGTCTGCAGCAAGGCCACTGAGTGGCGGGAACTGAGCAGGCCACGATGGAGAAAACAAATGCAACTGAGAAAGGACTGTGTCGGAGGTTTCGACTGCCCTGCTTCAGAATCATGGATGGAATTTTGGTTCTGCTTGTCGTCAGACTCGGTGTCTCCAGAGCTTGGAAAGCTGCCCCCTCCAGGCCACCCCTCCCCCAGTTCTCTGCATTTGGTCTGCTGATCATGTTGCCATAACATGTATGAAAAGTGTAGCATCATCTTAACATTTAAGACAACTTCCAGGTATCTAACTTGTTTAACAATGAGTTTTTGTTTGGGGCTTATATTTTTTTGTATATTGTTTACATTTTTGAGAGGTAGCATTCTGTTTCAAATGCTGTCTTTGTTCTCCTGACAGTATTGTTTGGGTCGAAACATTTGAACCACGGAGAAGTGTGTTTTCAAAAAGGTCCCTCCTCGCCTTTCTTTCCCTCTGTTCTCTCCACACCCGGCGAGGCCCGCGTCCTTTGACATTCACGTCTTCTCAAGGCACCTGGGTTTAGACGAGGTTTCCCTTTTTGTTCGTTTTATACAGATGAAGACGTTTTATTTGGATTGCAATCTGAATGTCGAGAAAGTGAATCCGCCCCATTCTTTTCCCTCTACATGTGCCACCCGCCTTGCCCTTCCTGTAAAATGCCTCTGTGGGCAACTGGCCTCAGCCTCCCTCCTGGGGCCGTGAAGAGCAGCTACCAACCCAGACCGAGGTAGAGGAATGGGACCTGGCTGACTGGGGAAGGCCTGGCCTGCATGATGGGGCGTGGGCAGGAGGCCTTGCCCCTTTCCTCACTCTGCCACCCGAGGGGTAGCATCTAGTCACCATACCCCCCCTCCCCTCTGCCGAGAAAATGGTAGTCCCAGAGCCCAACTGAGGCATTCTCTGGAACTCTCCTCAGACCACTAGACGAGGCCTCTGGTCCTTCTTCCTGTTAACCACTGAGTCTGTGTTCCTCAGCCCCTGCCCCCATGCCAGTGGTATGGGGGTACAGGGCTGCCGGAAGGCAGCAGCTGCAGGGCTGCCAATACAGCTGTGCTCAATCTCCCCATCTAGCTCAGGGGTCACAGGCCTGTGGCAGGTGCCACGAATCGCCCCTGGGGCTGTTCTCAGCGGCATCTTTGTTCCCACCCCAGGCAGCTCTTCCTCTTCCGCCTTCACTTCCGCCCTGTGCGTCAGGCCGCACGCGGGCCCTGGCCATGCTCAGGGCGAGACCAGCCCGGCTGGAAGGCGCTCTGGCTTTTAGCCCTCCGAGTCGAGAGCTCTTCACTCTGGCAGTAAGGTGGGGTCAGCCTGAACACAGACAGGGTCAAAGGGAAATAGCACGCAGATAACTGGCCAGTCTATCAGCCTGCTCCCCGAGAGACGCACCACTTATGAATCGTGCCCCGCCCCACGCACACCCCCAGGGGAGGAGGAGGTGACATCTCCAGGGGCAGCGGTGCTGAGATCCCAGCAGACGCTTGAGCGGAAACTTCCAGGAGGCCTGCCCCTTGCTCAGTGCCGTCTCACAAGGCAGGGAGGCAGCAGCTGGATCATTGCAGTTGAGCGTCAACTTCGGAGAACCAGATAAGCAACCACCCCACCACGTGTGACTTCTCATTTCTCCTCTGCGATGTCCATTTTTTAAATAGGAATTTCCAACCCTCTGTGCTTGTCTCATGTCTGCTCGGAACAGTTCGAGAACCTGTTACTGTTTTAAAATGCATGCATGTTAAGATGACTCTCCCATCCGAGGGAAAAATAAAACTCAAAAAGCTTTGTGTACATCTGGTCCGTGTGTTTTTTGGATAGTGGGACAGGAGCCTTGTCTTTTTAGCGTGGGGTCCCAGTGAGCAGCCAGCAGCCTGGGCAGCCAATGTGTGGACTGGCCCCCGGAGTGACCGTGTGGTCGACGACGTCTCGGTCAGATGCGGTGTAGTAAGCTGAGCTCACCGATGGCCCCTCGGGTGTCCTTACTACTTGTTGAGGAATAGGCATTCCCTGTTGCTCACGCTGACTAGGGACAAACTCCAGCTCGTCTACTGACTTTGAACAAGACACCGTGGTCCCTCAGGTTCTCCATCTAGAGCAGCTACGAACTGGCTTTAGCTAAAAGTAGTGGCTCTCCCAAGTGCGGCCCGGACCAGAGGGTCAGTAGCACCTGAGAATCGTTGAGAAAGGCCATGTTGAAGGCCTATCCCAATCTGAATCTATGGTGTCTGATTCCGACGGAGGGCGATTAACACTTGGACACGTTTGCGAACTGCTCAGCACATTCTGTGCATGTCTGTCTATTCAGCTGGTGAATTCCAGAAGACAGGTGTCCAGGCCCCTAAGGACCCAGTTAAGTATAGATTCCAGAGGATAGGGCCAGGACATCCAGCAGATGCTCCCGGCGATTCCCGTGCTGCTCCCCCTCCTGCTGCCCCCAGTCTTCGATGGGAAGAAGGTGAGACTTAAGGGACTTCCAGTATCGGGCAGTAAAACGGACCCTGGGCCTTGGAGGCAAATGGGCCAATGTGCTCCACGTCCTCCCTTTTCACGTCTGTCAACAAGGACGGTGCTGACAGCTGAGTGCTCCGATCCTAGTGGGTGTAGAGTACTCTGGCAGTACCTTGCTCCCCGCCGGCACCCACAGTAGGGGTACACTGCCCACCAGCGGCCCAGGGAAGCCCATGGGGCATGCTAAGCCTCAAGCAGTTATTTGCAACTGCCCAGCTGGCGATGGGCCAGAGGTGAAACTATCAGAGACAAAGAAGCCACAGGCAAACATGAAAGAAAAACGTATTTAATTAAAAACAACAAAACAAGACACTGGGCTTTTCCAGAAGGGAGAGAGAAATGGGTACCGGGCTCGGAAGAGGTGCAGTTAGTCCATTCGGGCCTTCAGTGTCCGGGTGGTGATTTTGTCCTTCTCGCTGCAGAAGGAGAATCAGGGCAGCACTCAGAACCGCCCTACCTGCCCGCTCTCCCCGTCCCTGCCCACCACATTAGGGACTTTATATTGCTGTGTCTGTGGGTGGAGAAAGGGGAGTCCAGTCAAGGCTTCTAGAAGTGGCACAGTTGCAAGTTGAGGCCTGGCTGGAAGCCCGCATCTGGGGAAGGTGCTCCCCAGGCCTCCACACCAGAGGAGGGGTGAGGGGTCCACCCCCGTGTTTGCCACAGACCTGGGTGCTCAATTCTTTGTCAGAGCCTAGCTACCACAGTAATCCACAGCTGATCCAGTAACCCAAAGGGTCCAAATGCTTATTCTGGGATGTCTCAAAGGGAAGCAGGTGGGAGTTGTCACCTAACCAGCCACGGAGGCTCCCAGTCGCACCCCTCCCTAGGGAAGCAGGGCTTCCTGTGACCCCAGCCACCCAGGTGCCATTCTCACACCCCACCAGTGGGTTGGGGAGTGTGGCTTGGTGTTTAGAGGGCGGAGGGAGAAAGGGGCCAAGTTCTAGACCCCTCCCAGCTGAAGCTCACATGATGTGGACGACGACTCCCATCCCGGACACCGCGTCCCGGTCCACAGCATTCAGCATGGCTTGGGAGATGGTTTCAAATAAGTGTTCCGGATCCTGCCAACAGAGGGGAGCCCTTCAGACCCTGGTGCCTTGGAGCCTCCCTCGGCTCGCCTCCTGCTGCTCGGGCCGCTGAGGCTGGAAGTGAGGGCAGGCCTTTGGATGGGAAGCCCCCTGGGCTTCTTTGCGAGGAAAGGTGAGGATTTCAAGCCCAAATTCCGTCCATTAAGCAGCCATGTGGCCTCAGCTGCATCCCACGAGGACATCTCCCCTGGATGTCTGTCCTACAAGGACCTCGCACTCAGTCTGTCTGACAGCACACTCAGCCCTCCTCAGCCAGCTATCGGCCTCCTTCCCAGGAGCCCAGCACCTCCTGCTGATGCCCGCCACGGTCCATCACATCGGACTGTAGGCTTCGGGTCCCCTGCTTCCTATTGCCTTTGGCAACAAGCCAAGGAACAAGTCCAAACTCTTTGGCCCAGTACTTGGATCACCTCCCCGGCTTGCTCCTCACTTCACACCCAGCCCCACCTCTTGCACTCTCTCGGCAGCCTGCTCCTGCCCACAGGGGCCCCTCTCTCGGCAAGCATAGGTGACAGGCACTTGGGTGTTGCGGGAGCGAGCCGGCAGAGCTGCCCTTAAGGCACCACCAGCCAACCTGTGTGCTCAGGCTGAGCCCACACCTCTTTCCCTCACACTACCACTGACCAGTCAACCCTACTTGTAACCCCACTTCACAGCGGGGGGCACTTGGGCACAGAGACTTACCCAGAGTGTCACTAAGTGGGAACGGGGGGGGGCCCTCAGGTTTCTAACCTCTCACAACCTGGCTCCAAAGGCGACTTGGCCGTGCTGCTGCTAACGCCATGGAAACCAGACTCTTGGCTTCCAAGTCCACTCCCATGCAAAGCGACCCCATGCAGGGTGGCAGGGTGGGCAGGCCTCACTGTGCTCAGAGGAGCAGCTGGTGGGTTTGAACCACCAACCTTTAGTTCCAGCTTAGCCGAAATCACCACCAGGGCTCCATGCTAAGCCCACACAGACCGCTAACTGTTCGTTGGGGGAATGGAGGCGAGAGCCCGCTAAGCCCCACGGGAGGAAGGATCTGCTGTTTCAGCAAATACTCAACTGGGGTCTCCTCACCGCGCTGCTGCCCTCGAGCCAGCCAGCACCATGGCCCGCAACAAAGGGTGTTTCTGGACGGTCTCCCAAGTACAAACAGCTGTGTCTTTGTCACCTACGTGCATGACTAGCCCCTCCCTTCCCTCTTACCAAAACACCACACCGCCAAGGCACTGCCACAAGCCAATGCCGACTCACAGCAACCCTCAGGACAGGGGAGACCAGCTACTGCGAGTCTCTAAGACCAACTTTTTAAGGAAGTAGAAAGCCCTGTCTTTCTCCCGAGGAGTGGCTGGTGGTTTTGAATGGCTGACCTTGCAGTCAGCAGCCTAATGCACAATCCTCATGCACACACAGACGCGCCCAGCAGCTGGGTGGTCTCAGAGTCCACCCTGCTCTGTGCCACCAACTCACCATGTTGGGCTCCCAGAGGGACTCGCACATCCCGTACATTTGCTCAGCGCAGGTGCCACTGACCACAAAGTCGTCAGTCACCATGGGGCAGCCGATGAGGTCCAGAGAGCAAATGAATGGCTTGAAGGTCTTTGGGTCCAACCCAGCAATGACGGGCTCCGTGTAGTACGGGCCAAACCTGCGAGGCCAAGGAGAGAGACATCGGCCTCAGGTGCCTGCTTCCCGCCCAGGCCTGCAGAGGAGAGCAGGCCCCCACCCCACCCCCGGCTAGCTTGCTCTAACCCATCAATTCCCTAGCCCCCTGCCCGCATAACCCAGGACAAAGTGTAGGTCTCTGTTCTCGCAGCGCCCCCACAGGACGGGGTTGGCATTGTCCCCCTCGGGCAGCACTAACCCACCCCTTCCCTCTGCTAGCATCTGGTAAAGCTCTAAGCTCTTTCCTCCTTTCTTTTAAATCGTTTTATTGGTGGCTCATACAACACTTATCACAATCCATACATACATCAATTGTGTAAAGCACATTTGTACATTCGTTGCCCTCATCATTCTCAAAACATTTGCTCTCCACGTAAGCCCCTGGCATCAGCTCATTTCCCCCCCCTCCCTTCCTGCTCCCCCCTCCCTCATGAACCCTTGATAATTTATAAATTATTATTTTGTCATATCTTACACTGTCTGACATCTCCCTTCACCCACTTTTCTGTTGTCTGTCCCCCAGGGAGGAGGTTATATGTAGATCCTTGTAATCGGTTCCCCATTTCCACCCCACCCTCCCTCCACGCTTCCTTTCTTTTTATAAATGGGACTGTTTGCTTTATTAAACGACTTTCTATTGTGATTTGGGTGAAAGTTTGCAGAGCAAATTGGTTTTCCATACATGGATAGGTTGTTTTGGACCCACCGTGCAGGCGGCACAATTTAACAGGCTTCTTCCTACCTCCTCCCTTCCTCCTGCTTCTTGACCCCTCCTGCCTTCTGAGCTTCTCCTGGGAAACCGCTGCCCTTTGGCTCTTGTGTGCTTCATTGTTCTAAGGCCAATGTCCCTCTCCCTGCTGGGATTTGCTCACTTCGGGTTTGTCTACTGCTTGGCTGCAAGGTGAGCCAGCTGGGGGCGTTCAGAGCAGGCTTCCTTACAGCGTGTCTGCAGGCCAGTCTCTGTCAGACCAGGAAGTCTGGCCCTTTCTTATGACGTTGAATCGTGTACAGAGAGCTGGCCAAGGCGCCGGGTTCTCCTCATTGTTTACCCAGAAGAAAACAGCAGCTCACCAGACATCTGTTCTGGATCTGAGCTTTGGAAATAATCCAAGGACCTTTGGTACAACACACTAACGAGTGGCCCATACACTGGCAGAAGCAAGAGACTGAAGAGGCTCTCCGTCTGCTAAGGAGCCCTGGTGGCGCACAGGAGTTTCAGTACTGTGCTGCTGACACAGGTCACGCACCCATCTCAGCACTCAGCTTCCGTAGGGTTACAGCCAGGAGAAGCCCTGGTCCGGCCGCTCTCCCCTCAGTCGAACCAATGTGCCTCGATGGCCCCAGCAGCATCACCAGCACTCACGGTGCTTTTATGGGCCTCAGAAATTTCCAAGGACTTGATCTAAAAAACTCTTTAAAAAATCCCAATAAACATGCACAACTCTTATGAATGTGATGGAACTATTAAAATGTATATGTGAATTATGTCGGCAGAACTGTTAAAAATAAATTAAAAAAATAAAAATTAATTTTAAAAAATTTGCGTGAGATTGTACTGAGAAAACATCCATTTTAGAATAAAAATTATCTATGATGCTGATTTTCAAAAGACCAACTACTGATACTGCATGCCGCTAAAACCTATTTAAGATGAACATTTCCGGGGGCCTATATCCCTGGAATATGTGAGCCAAAATAGTGATTGTTTTGTCAAAGTAGATATATTCATAGAAAAAAAATGTTCTTTTGTTAAATATTCAGGGAAAGAAAAGAATGAATGTGTAGATAAATTACTATGCTAATCAACATGATCAGAACGCAAGAGTAACAATCCTTTCTTGAGGAAGAATATGCCAGTGGCCTCACTCAGAGCAGCTCCAAGCTCACTGCCGTGGAGTCATGCCAGTTCACAGGACTCCAGGTGGCAGAACTGTACTGTGGGTTTCAGAGACGAGAAGCCCCTTCCTGTGCCCCAGTAATGACTGGTGGTTTTGAACTGCCGACCTTGTGATTCGAAGCCCAACTTGTCACCGCTAGGCCACTAGGGCTCCTGTGGGTACACTAGGAGAATTTGTTTTTTTCAATGAAGGCACTGACAACAGGATTATATCCCAGAAACAAAATAAATTTGTATATAGTTATTGTACCAGAGTCCGTTCTTGGTCATGTGAAAAAACTTCATAACCTAAAATGCATGCAATCGCCCAAACATTTTACACTAATGTTCTGGGAATACATAATTAACCTTTAAAAAAAGTCCCCCACGACCAGTAATGAGCACTGATATCAGGAGGGTAGGGGGAAGGGAACAAGTCCAAACTCTTTAGCCCAGTACTTGGATCACCTCCCCGGCTTGCTCC